GGGAGAGGGAGAAGCAGGCTCTCCGCAGAGCAGGGAGCCCGATGCGGGGCTCGATCCCAGCACCCTGGGATCATGACCTGAGCCAAAGGCAGCTGCTTAACGACTGAGCCACCCAGGCGCCCCGAAGCACCTGACTTTCTCGGCCAATCCAGGTACGTGGAGGAGAGGACTCTCAGATTGCCTGTATCATCCAGACTTTGGGGTGGGGCCGTTGGGCCCAGGACAGGACTCCACTCACTGCTTTCAAAGTATCATTAATACTGTAGTTAATATAATAAACCCCACTAAGAATGCTTCCACTAAAGTAAGATATACAATACTGCACATACTTAAAGTGTACAGTTCAAAGTTTTGACATATGTATGTACCTGTGAAACTATCACCAAAATCAAGATGTGACCCTCCCAATTTTTCTCCGTGCCCCCTTGTAATTCCTCCCCCCAGCAACAACTGATCTGCTTCCTGTCACTATAGATCAGTTTGCATGTTCTCGAGTTTCTAGAACTTTATATAAATGGAATCATGCAAGCTAGATTTTTTTCTGACTTCTTTCTTTCTTCTTCTTTTCTTCCTCCTTCCTTCCTTTCCTTTCTTTCCTCTTTCTCTCTCTTTCCTCTAAGTTTGGACACCTACTACGTACAGGAGGGCATTCCCCAGCTGACCCAGCCCTCTGAAGAGGAGAGAAGAAACAGAGTCACTGTTCTCGTGCCCCCAGGGCACTCAGGGATGCCCTGTGATGTGGGCTTTGGTTCTGGGAGGCCGTGGGAGAGGAAGCCCAGGGAGGGCAAAGTCAGCCAGCGCTAAATTGTAAGTGTGCGGGGAAACCCATGATGCCCTTACACCTCCTCCTCAGCCACCCTGAGACCCGCAGGCCCCGACCCCTCTTCTCCTCTCACCGTTGCTCCCTCAAACCGCATGACTACCCCCACCCCTCCTGGATATCATGGACCATCCCAGGGTCGCAGAGGTGGACACAACCCATCACACCCTCAACTTCCTCCCCCTGTTCTTCTGCCGCTCTCCCCTTGTCAGCCCCTGGCCCAGAACGATGTAGTCCCGGGCTATCTCCACCCCGGCTTTGGGCTGACAGGGAACCATAAAACTGGGATGACCCATGTCACTGCAAACCCACAGCCCCCATGCTTAGCTGGGCCCTAAGTGCCCCCTGCAATCTTCTTCAGGGTCCCCAGACAGTTGCCATTTGCTGAGAGTTCCAAAGCTTCCCCAGCAGCCTCAAGTCCCTCCCCTGCCCCTCCTTCCCTCCCCCGTCCCCATCCTCAATGGACAATCTTTATCGCTTACTTCAAGAAAACACAGAAACCATCAGGTAGGAGCTTCCTCACTACAGCCAACCAGCACCCCCCAAATGGACCCATATCCCCACCTTCATACTTGCCTCTGCACTAGGGAGAAAGTGGCCTTCCCCCAGTTAAGAGTAATCCTCTGCCTGGGTTACAGTCCCCATCATCTCCTGTCTTTTCTAGAACCTTCTTCTATTGAACATCACAGGCTCATATCTTCACAACTTCTCTCTGTCTCAGGTCATCATCCCTTTAAGCCCACCCTGGTCTGTGTCTTCCAGTTTGAACCCCTGCCTCCCTCCCAATGCCACCTCCCCTTCCAGCTTCCTGTCTTGGGCTCCTCTTCTTTCAGCATCCTTCTTGGAAACCAGTCTCTTCAAGCTGTCCCCACTTCCTGGTCTCCCTCTCACCTATCCTCTGCAATCTGGTTTCTGTCCTCAGCCCTCCCCTGAAATCACTTTTCCTAGAGGTCGTTAAAGAGCTCCCTAGTTCCTAAATCCAAAGGATGCTCTCCAGTCTTCAGCTCACTTGGCCTTTCCATATCGACCATTCCTTCCTCCTAACACCCCTCTCCCCTGCCTTCTAGGCAACGCCCTTCCCTGGCCCTAGGGCCATCCATCCTGAGATCCTTGGTCTCTCCTCCTCTATCCCTTCTTTCAGTGCTGGTGCTGCTTGGGTAGCCCTGTCTTCTTGGTCACATACTTCTGGATGGTTCCATCCCTATGCAGTGACTCCCAGGACTCCCTCTCCAGCCCAGGCCACTCTCTTTAACTTCTATCCTGTACGTCCAGTTGCCTGTCAGACATCACCTCCTACACATCCCATGGGGACCTCAAATTCAATACTTCCCCCTGAAAGTGCACTCCGCCTAAAAACCTGTTCCTCGTCCCATACTCCTGATCTGTCAAACTCTAGTTAAAATCTCTGAGATTCGTCTTCGATTTTTCCTTTTCCCTCTCTTCCCCAACTTTCAGGCAGTAAATGAACAGCCTCAGTTCTACTCCTACAGACTTCTCCTATCTCCCCTCCCTCTATCCTCACTGCTAAAATCCAACCCATCAGCTGTCTCCTGGACTTCGGCCGTTGCCCCTGACAGTTCTCCATATGCCAAGTCTCTCCCCCTGTCTCCCTGTTCAGCCCTCAAATCATCACCTGTCCGCCCAGCTGCTGGAGGGATCCTTCCAAAGCCCAGGTCTAAGTGTGTCAATCCTCTTTGAAAAATCTCCTCTGGATTCCCATCACCTGCAGGACCACGTTCAAACCCCGTAGCCAAACACACAAGGCCTCCCCAAAGCTGCTCCTCCCGTGTGTCCTGCCCCCACTTCTGCAGCACCCAGCAGCCCTCACTCCATCTCCACTGACCCCCTCAGAGTGTTCTAGACAACCTGTGCCCCAGTACCCACCGGCCCCCGCCTTCCCACAGTCCTCTGCTCAGGGCCCCTTTCTCCCTGGTCCTCTGCTCCAGAATCAGCTCAAATGTCTCCTCCTCCGGAAGGCCCTCCCTCCACTCCCCAGAGAATGCTAGTTCTTTCTTCCTGGTGTCCCTAGACCATCATGCAAATACCTCTAGAAGATATCCTCTTATTTCCTAAGTATTTACCTGCATTTTCTCCCTACCACCTTCAAGGAAAAACCTGTCTCTTACTGGGTTTTTCTCTCTAATGCCGAGCGCTGTGGCCCACACATGGTGGCTCCTCGAATGTTCGTGGGGGAGAAAGAGAAGCTGGAAGGCCAGCAAGAGTTTGGGGAGGAAGATGAGAAGAGGCAAATTAACCGCCTGGGCCGGGGAGCTTGCGGAAATGCACAGCGAAGGCCCCACCCCAGGTGGGAATCGCCATCTCCGGAGGTGGGGCTCAGGAATCAGCCTTTTCTCAAAAATTCCTTGGGTGATTTTTAGGGACTCCAAAGTCTCCAACCACTGACCAAAGGGACTGCAGTTTTCATACCAGTGAAGTTCTGTCATTTAAGAATCTGACCCAGGGTCAAGAACTTTTGTGGAGTTCATTTCTAAGATAATCTAATTACAGCATCAATTATGATCATGGCGATGATAATTACAGAAGAAGGGCCTAAAACAAGAGTGGAAGCTGAGAAGCACCGGAGACAAGCCGCCGGCTGCCTGGGCTCCTTACAAAGGCAGTTCGGGGCAGGGGGAAGGCAGGGCACTAAAGTCAGCGGGTCCTGGGCTCAGTCTGAGCTCTGATTAGCAAGTGGTTTTATCTCAGACAAGTACTCTCCATCTCTGTAGACCTCGCCTCCCCATCTGAGAAGTGAGGGGGTTGCAGCCAAGGTTCCTTTCAGCTCTAATGTTCTGTGAGTGGCTATCTTGAGAAAGAAAAAAAAAAAAACCATCATGTGTGGGTAACAGTTCAGAATGCTGTGCTTCTAGACTTGCTATATTATCGGGAGATTTCTATCCTGGCAAAGAACGACTATAGTAGGAGCGGGCCAAAATAGCACCAGCGGGGCCACTCTGTTATAATGAGATTATGCCAGAGCCATTTTGGTTTATGAAATTAATATAACGGCACTAATATATTACTGAGAGCAACGCTTCCTCTCTTTAAAGAATACCAAATGCACTGTGGGCGTCTTCTCCTTCCCCTTGACCACAGCCCCATAAAGAAGCAGGACAGAGAGGGCTGCCCGCCTGGGAACACTGAGTCCTGGGGTGAGGGCAGGGTCTCCCGGTGTGATGTCACTTAGCCAAGTGTTCTCGCTGGAAAATCTGGGGTGGGAGCAAGAGAAGGAACGTCCCCCTGGCCCTTTCTGTGGCCGGAGCTGAAAGGAAAGATGGCCTTCCTCCTCTGGGCGGCCACTGGCCCCCTGGGACTGGGGGGGAGGCCCCCCCGCCCCGGAAAGGCCCGCACCTGCCCTGCCGCACCCTGCCTTTCCAGAGGAGGGCAGGCCCAGCCTAGGCTGGACTTTGACCCATTGAGGAAAAGGCGGGAGACACATTCAAACCGGCATGGTGATAAACTTATTAGTCACGCGTGCTTCCAGCCAGCTTCCCCCTACCGCTCAGCCTGCCCCCAGCCCTGCCACCTTCCAAGCTGGACAACTCGAAAGAAAAAATAAAATGGCAAAACGAGAGAGAACAACGTACTTGATGAAGAAGACTCTCCCCCCGCGGTCAACTCCGTAGGTCCACCGGCCGGGCAAGTCCAGCCAGTCAATCTCATCGGCCATCTCGGCGTCCAGAAGCCCCTCTCGCTCCGGGCCCTCCGGGGCGCGCAGGGTGGGGGGGCTTCCTGCCCAGCGGCCCCCACTGTCCGCCCTCCCGCAGGCGGCGGGGGGTGGGGGGTAGAGGGGAGGGGAGGGGTCCCTGCCGGGCGCCCGCCTCTCACTGAAGGCGGCGGGCCGCCAGCCGGGCGGCGGGGAGCAGGGGAGACTTAACCCCGGCCGGGCCGGGCCGGGCTCCCGCTCCAGCCGCCGCCTCCCCGCCCGGAGCCCGCTTCGGACGCCTCCTCAACTTAACGCCGGGCAATCGGCGCGCCGGGGGGTTCCGACGCTCCCTCGCCGACTGCCGGCCGCCGCGCCGAGCGCTGCCCCTCCCGCCCGCAGCCGCCCGCGGAGCAGGTTGCTGTGCGCGAGCGAGGGGTGTCGCCTCTCGCTCCCAGCTGCGAACCTGCACTTGAACGGCCGGCCGGCCGAGGGGAGGCGGGGCCGCGCCGCCGCCGCCGCCGCCGCCGAAGGTAATTCACAGCCAGGAGGAGGATCCGCGGCCGCCCCGGCCGGTCCCCAACCCCAGGCGCCCGGCGCGGAGAACCAGTTTGGCCGAAAGAGCTTTGAATCACGGACCGAGGGGACGTGTCCAGCCGCCGAACGGAGAAGGGCGAGTGGTCAAACCTGGTTCTACTTGGCGGGAGGTTAGTAGAGGAACAAAGGTCAGATGCCGGGAAGGGTGGCACGCACGGGTGTGGGTAGCAAGGGGCCCTGGCTGTCAGCCTCATTAGTCAAGCTAGCTCTTACTTTTGTTTCTGAGCACTTCCTCCAAGAAGCCTGCCATGACTAAGGAGAATCAGAGTGAGACCTTAGAACACACTCAGTAACCAACAGCTTTTATGTCCCTTTCCCCTAACTTGCACCAGAAAAGGAAAAGGGAAGGGGGGAAAAAAACAAAAAGAGGAGGGAATGTGTTCTGTGCACAGAATGCAGGTTGTAAGCATTCAAAACCGGCATATCAAAAATGGCATTGCTGGAGCCCATAGTTGTGTCTCCGTCTGCCTCAAAGCTGGGGTTCGGTGAGCTTTCCCGGCTTACCTGGGACCTGCTCCTGGGGCTCCCATTAGGTGCACACCGCTCAGATCCATGTGTTAGACCCAAGGGAATCATTAGACGAATGAGAGACACCTGCCTTTAGAGGAAGTGGTGTGTTGCATGGAGCTGGCTGGTATGTGTTGAGTGAGCGTACTTACTGTGAGCATTCTAAGGGATTTGATCCCTGTTTCCCCTAGGAAATTGTGTCTGCCCATGCATCACCTCCTCCTGGAAGCCATGCTTGCTTGACTCCACCCCAGACAGATTTGTGTATCCATCCTCTAGGTGTCATGATGCCTTATTAATAATCCTATAGTGGAACTTATCACACTGTAATGCAATCCTTGACTTACTCATCTGTCCCTTTCCTTGGGCTGTGTGCTCCTCAAGGCAGGAGCTCCTCTTATGCATCTTTATAGCCCTAGCAGAGACCTGGGACACCTAATTCATGTTTGATGAATGACTGATGCTGTCATAGCTGGGAACAACTATTTTTTTTTTAAGATTTTATTTATTTATTTGTTTGTTTGTGTATTTATTTATTTATTTAGAGAAAGGGAGGAACAGGGAGATGGGAGGGGGATAGACTCCCAAGCACGCTCCCCCCTGAGTGTGGGGCTGCTCACAGGCTCACGACCCTGAGATCCCGACCTGAGTCAAAACCAAGAGTCAGTCACTAAACCAACAGAGCCACCCACCATCCTGTACTTTTGGGCCTTACTTAGGGGTCTGCTGAATTATAGCCATCAGCCACACCGAGGTGTGTGTAGGGAGTGTTTTCTGGAAAAAGAAACAGACAGTGAGCCTTCCCAGGTATCCCAGTGCTCAAACTGGAGGACATAATGTGTATACAGCTGCTAGATAATGAAGCTAGAAGATGCCTCAGGGAACATCTAGTCCAATCCTTGTGTTAAATATGGGAAACAGAGAAGCTAAGATGAGAAGAGGCTGATTAAGGTCACCGAGCAAGTGGGGGCAGAGAAGGATCTGCCCACCAATGTCCAGGCCAGAACTCTTGCCATTACATCATCTTGTCTCCAACTCTGGGAATTCACTCTGCCGACGTATGCAAGTTGATTCCTGGATGCCAGGTGGAAGCTGAGCCCATTCTACGGACGCAGAAGAGTAGCAGAAACCCGTAACACCCAGCTATTTCCTCCCCTCTCAAAGCCTATGGGCTTCTAGCCGAGAAAGCTACATTAGACAGCAAAGCAGAGCTGAGCCTGAGAAGCATAGGTGGGGATCTGTGCCCCTGAGTTCCTGAGTTGGGGAGCCTGGGAGGATCAGGGATCAGACTCCCCTCTAACTCCAGTCCCCTGTCTTGTGAAACACCTGTAAGACTCGTCCTGCCGATAAAGCACAGAGCCACCTACCAGCCCCTGTGATATCGAAGGATCTGAACCACCAGAATTACTGCCAAGATGCCCCCAGGGAAAATACCAGCAGCCAGTGCACTCCCAGTCCAACCTGAGCAACCAGTAAGGGCAGCTGCTTGGGCCGAATGTGGGTGGAAACAGGGATGAAATGACATATATTTGAAAACATGTATTCTTCCACTGCCTTCCTTGAGGTGTAGGGGTTCCTGTTGATTTCTTCACAAGATTTTTGCATTATTTATCTCTAATCCAGCCTGGGGTTCCTTGGAACCTATACCTAGACAAGAAAAGGCTGGTGGTTGAGATTTTGAATTTTTTTTTACTCATTTGAAATGAGAAATCAGTTTTGAAAATACTTTTCCAATTATGGTGTATTCTCAGTGACTTTTTACATTCAAGATCTTGTTTTCAGTTACGATCAGTATTAATACTGCTAAGAAAGACATTTTAGGGGCGCCTGGGTGGCTCAGTCGGTTAAGCATCTGACTTCAGCTCAGGTCATGATCTCCGGGTCCTGGGATCGAGCCCCGCATCCAGCTCCCTGCTCCGCGGAGAGTTGGCTTCTCACTCCCCCTTTGCCCCTCCCCCTGCTCCTGCTCTCTCTCTCTCTCAAATAAATAAAATCTAAAAATAGAAAAGACATTTTACCAAAGGAGCTAAAAAATAATGCAGAAAAGGAGTAGAAAGCGCAAATAAAAACAGCCATTGTTTCAACAGTTACCTGTTGAAGCGGGTAGGAGGGTTGATATGTTGAAATAAAAACCTTGCATGCTTTGTGGTCCGGTTAAAAATTTAGTTATTTGTTTTCCCCTGCAGCAAATTTTATTTCACTTCTTTAAAAGGCAACAAAGCACATGGAGAAAATACATCAGTAATATTTAGAAATGATTCTGATTCTCTCATCCATTTTGAGGCCTTAGTCACTTACATATTCCTATGTTTCTGGCTTAGTATGGGTGGTGGGTTGAGAAACAGCCCCCCAAAAGCGGTCCATGTCAAATCTCTGGAACCTATGAATGTGACCTTATTTGGAAACAAAGTCTTTGCAGATGTAATTAAGTTAAAGATCTTGAGACAGGGAGATTATCCTGATTACTCGGGTGGGCCCTTAAATTCAGTGACAAGTGTCCTCAATAAGAGGCAAGGGGAGCTTTGAAACAGACAGGGAGGGGGGCAGGGTGACCACAGAGACAGAGATTGAGGTGATACAGCCACTAGAAGCTGGAAGAGGCAAAGAAGGAATCTTCCCTAGAGCCTCCAGAGGGAGTGTGGCCCAGGTGTTGACCTTGATTTTGGACTTCTGGCCTCCAGAACTCTGAGAGAATAGATTTGGGTTGTTTTAAGCTGCCCCGACTGTGGTGATTTGTTACAGTGGCTAGGGGAAATTAATACATACCTGTAAGAAAATCATCACTTAATGAGACCTGAAATATATGTCAACTACTTTTACTTGTCCAGTATCTAATCCCCTTTGTTCTGTTAATAGCCCCCTGAGTTTCCTTCTGACATCCTCCCCTCTGCTACTCTCTGCCCGTGTGGGTTGGATGGGCTGGCCTCACCCCTACCGCAGCTCCGTTGGGGGTGAGGGGGGTGGTGCTATGACACCGATGTGGCTAATCTGACCCTCTGTTTCCCTGGCCCTAGTGATCGGTTCAGGAGGGGACACATGACTCCAACCAAATCAAGGAGATTTATTTTTTAAGAAGACCCCAGAGTTGGGGCACCTGGGTGGCTCAGTCGTTAGGCGTCTGCCTTCGGCTCAGGTCATGATCCCAGGGTCCTGGGAT